TTTTGTAGAATCCCCATTACATACATTTCCCTAGCCTGCAAAGCAGGCGTAACATTTCCTTATAACATTACACCACAAAAACTAAGCTTGGGCTACCTGTGTGCTAGTCAGCTTACTATGCAGCAGCAACGTCAAAATCGAAGTTACAGCACAGTATCTAATGCTCCTTTTGAAGTTTAATGCAATTTTCAACATTTGATTCCGAAGAGCCTCGTTATTGTGCTAGAATTGTAAAGATCTCGAACATGGCCTATTATTTCGACACAGGCAATATAGCGGGACAGTTTTCCAGTGGAACCTCGTCCAGCATACAAATTAATGGTTTTCAACCATTCCCAAGAGAATTAAATAACAAAAGACATGGCAGCCATGTTGGAGGATATAACAAAAGAATTCATTGACAATTCTTTTGTTGAGTTCCTCCAACATGGCCGCCGTGAATAATATCAACAGACAGATTGTTTTAAAGTACTACATTGATTACAAGGCAATTTAATTTAATTTTATTTTCACAGGACCATGACATTCATAAACAATTGAAACGGCGGCTTATGATCAACTTTTCGTGATCAGTTTTAAATTATGGAGCTTGTGTTACTCTTGGATTATTTCAAAATGTAACGATTTCCTTTGTGGTTGAGGATTACGAGTCATTGTATTTATGCGAGTGCTTACAATACCAATGAAACTGTATACAGGTTGAATACTGAATACTGCTTACTGAATTGATGGTTTTCACGGCGGCCATGTTGGAGGACTTCAACATAAGAATTGTCAATGAATTCTTCTGCTATATCCTCCAACATGGCCGCCGTGTCTTTTGTTATTTAATTCTCTTGGGAATGGTTGAAAACCAGCAACAGTGCATTCCAAGACCAAAGGGAATTGTGGGTCTCATTAATTTGAAATAAAAAGTAAATATATACAGCAATTAACTCTCTACATGTAGTTAGTATACAGTTTCAGATGGAATACACCAAAAATAGAATAAATAATTATTATTAATCCTACTTTAGACAATGTCACTGACCCACAAGGCTCTTCGGTCTTGGAATGCACTACTCAGTATGCCGTATTCAACGTTTTTTGAAATATCTGTAACTACAAAATAGTGTGTCTATTGTTTTCTGATTTATTAGTGTTATTTGTTTTTAGAGTGAAGGCATTTAACCCGCGAAACCAAACGTACTAATCAAAGTGTTATAGTTAAATTAGACTGCGAGCTAAGTGCCTCTATTTCCCTTGGTCACTGTCCGTCTGTCTGTCCGTGTCGATKGGTCGAGGAAGATTGGTTACGAGTCCCCTTGGGGAGGGGACTGGGGAGGGAGGGACGAAAGAAAAATGGAAAAATATTATAGTCATAGTTAAATAAAAAATATTTTTCTTTCGTCCCTCCCTCCCCAGCCCACTCCCCCAGGGACGTTTGACTCGTAACCAATCTTCCTCGACCAATCGACACGGACAGACAGACAGACAGTGACCAAGGGAAATAGAGGGACGTAGCTCGCAGTCTATAGTTAAATAGACACACAAAAGAAAACAATGGAATTAGGGGCAACTAAATTGTATTAGTCTAATATCTATTTCACGGGTTCAATGACTTCACTCTAATGGTACTTTTACTTGTCCCATGAAAAGATGGTAAACATAATACATAGTAGACACTAATTCCATTGTTATGTTTTCTTAATAATTACACTTCGTTTTATGTGCCAAGTAAAATCACTCCATTAAACAGAATACTTCTTGGGTTGAGTTTGATAACTCCCAGTAATGAAACTAAAGTACGTTACCTCCACAGGTAGTCATATTATAAGAAAATATATGGCGATCAATAAAAACGTCAAAATGGACGAATGAAATCTTAGCTGATCTTTGAAAAGTAGTACCTCTTTCGCCCTATGTACTTAGATTTTGGATTTTGAAAAGAACGTTAAAACTGGCTTAATCCAAAATCTAAGTCCACAGGACAAAAGAGGTACTACTTTTCAAAGGTCAGCTAAGATTTCTTAACTTTTTCACATTTTAACGATTTATGTTTTAGCATCGCCATACATTTTCTTATAACATGACACCACAGGAACCTAGCTTGGGCTACCTGTGGTACCTCTTGAGGTCTTTTCAAGGCACATTTTCTTGTATACGTACAATGGTCTGACTTAGTAAAGTTTGATCGATGTTTCAACCAGTCCCAAAATCATGTGACAAAATGAACCCTTATGAAAATTATCGTGGATGCGAGGCAACCACAGCAAAAAAGAAAAAAAGAAAAACACACACACACACACACAAATCAGTTTTTTTCTCGATGGAATTTGWGGAAATAGACCGTTTTCCCAAGGTTGCGTGCGTATCCTACTTGACGGGCCACAAAATTGAAAAAACGCAAATTCAGTAAAATTGAGCAGCCAGTTTCATATTTAAAGAGTAGAATAATCGATTTTGTGAATTCTAATCGAAACATTACATAGAAATGTATGATAATTTTCATAATAAAGCTCCTGTTCTGGCATCGTGCCCCGTCAAGTCCCTTAAATTTGGATGCGCACGGGCGCAAACTAGAGAAAACGGTCTATTCTTTTGTATTATAATGTTAGGACACGTTTTGAGGATAATTTTCAAAAGGGTTCATCACAGCAATACCAAAAGCGCTCCACCTTCCGAGRAGGCTCCAAGTGATTTTCCTCAAGCGCGCAGGCCCAAAGCGGGATAATGAGACATCGTTTATCATTTGGAATTTGTGATCTCTGGCTTTCAGTCTAAGGTGCCTTATTACTACAGTAGAAGACTATTTTCTTGACTAAGTCCTCTTAAGAGTTTTTATCAAAAACYTATCGCAAAATGATGCAGTATAGATGGTGAGTCTCGACGTTTGAAGTGTAGGGTATGAATTGCAACCTCGTGAAAATGAGTGGAACCAGTGAAAAAGCACTGCTCCGGACGTTGGCGTATTTTAAAATAAGCCATTATGTATTGGATTCAGACTCGCTTGTTTCAGCTTGYTCAAGAACTTGTTGTAGCAGTTCATCAACAGTTTGGTCCTCAAAGTTCTCCTTTCGATCATCAACCTCCAATTCTGGCACAAGAACTCGTAATAATTTACATACATTTCCTCTTAATTCATAAAGTTGTTGAGTCCGACTTAGAAGAGCCTTGAACTGCTGTTGTGGACTCATTTTTTTGACAGCCTCAACAATACTTATGTCTATGATTGGTATAATATTTTTATCCACATTTGCTAKAGTCTTCTGTTTTTGCGAATTGCCATCGTCCATATCATTTGTATCTACTTTTATTGTACTTGTGTTTGCCTCTGTTTTACTGACTGCGATATCCGTACCATCTGGATTATTATCTGTATAAGTATCTTTAGGCGGTGATGGTGGATCAATGACGATAACAGCAGAATCAGCGTTTCGTTTTCTTGGGGTTTCGTCAGCTTCTGCATCATCATCATGGGGTCTCTTCAACTTTGATACAGGGCTGCAAGACAATAGATATGATAAGATATAGGAAACTACCAGCTGATCTTATAATGACGTAGAAATGACGTCCCGACAAAATTGAGGTGCCATGAAGCTTGCGAAATCTTGTGAAATGYAGCCACATGCCTAACCTTTACCTASGCCCCGCTTTTATCATATTACACAGGATACCCAACGTAATTAAACTGTCCRGCATAAATGATACTAAATACTTCAATATTTTTTTCWTTATTTGAAAAKATTTATCAGTCTATTCRAAAATTGCAAACAGTATGAGTGTCACACGGRTACTCATGGTTAACTTTAAACAAAATTCCCTGACTTTTCCCTGACCCCTGAGCATAAATACCTTGGAGTAGATTGTTGARGTTCTGTCTTGACTTGCCCTGTCTCAGCAACATCAAGTGGAGTCGGTGTTTCTAGCTTGACCTAACAACAAACGATTCCCATATTCAATAAAATATTCATTTAACAAGCTAATTTTAGTAGAGTACAGTTTCCAAGACATACYAGACTTTTACAGAATATAATATCTTGCTAAAAAAAAACAAAAAAAAAAAAACGTTTCAGATTATAAGTTTAACTGTTGTTTCATCTACGTGTCTGTTAGCCATCCTGAGGTTATGGAAAAACTGGGTCCAGTTGGCACTGCAGTGCATTTTGGGACTGTTGTAGGGGACAATACGGTCATGAAAAGTAAAAGTATCGTGGATGCGTGGCTAACATGGAATTGCAAAAGAAAGCACGCGTTTCTTCGATGGAGTGGCATTTATTTCTGTACGTTAGCCTCGCAACCTAGACAGTTTTAAGAAGGGTGTATTTGATCCTAATGTGMTAGAGTGCTAAAGTTCTCATGACAAAGTAGATTGTGGTGGACGTTAACCCTATGTGCCTTGAAAACTTTGTGGAAACACTTTGATTGATGTCAACCAAAACCCTGTTTTGCAGCGACAGCAAATCGTACGACTACGCAAATGCGATTCGTGAAGCACTGAATATGTCTACATTAATGCGTTTTTAAAACGCCCCRTTTGCGTCTCAAAGAAGCGCATCGCGTCCACACTAGCGTTTTAATAACGTCCACACTAAAACGATCAAAAACGCTTATACGATCAAAAATGATGCATTATCATCGGCTGCGCATGCGAAATACAGACGTGTTGGTGTAAATGACGTCAACGTTTTCAAAAGCTTTTGTTTTCGCCTGTCCACCCTAATACGATAGGSCTCCGTATCGAATGYCCACTTTGGAAAGCGTTTTCGATCGTAATAGAGTCGACGCGAGGCCAAAACGCATCAAGGAGTATAAAATAATTGATCCAATCACGTGGAAAAGACTTTCCCGAATTTTCTTGACTGATCACAAAACAATGGATTCAAGTCGAAGTTGAACTTGATGAATAAATGAATCAAGTTTAGTCTCGACTTCAAATCATTGTTTCGCGGTTACCCAAGCGAATTTGGGAAGGCTATAGTATCACTGAAGTTTATAAACCACCACATGGGAATGAGATGATTCAAACAGCGAAGAGGAATAAGGGGTCCCAATACCAGGTGYAGTACAGACTAACCTGTGGTAGTGTCTCTCCCTGCGGTCCAGGAGTATTAGTAGTAGAATGAGAACTAATAGGCGTCTTGCCAGATGGTGCAATATATCGAAACCTGTCGTTAACAGTCACGTCCTTGCGCCCTAAGGTCGGGCTTGTCATAGATGACGATGATGTGYTATTGTCAGGTATTACAGCTGACACTGGTGAGATGGAACTCTCTGCTGCATGTCTATTGACCTCAATCAGTGATTCAAGAGGTTTGTAGTCAGACTGAGGCTTTGCCTCTATTGGTTTCGCCTGTTGTACTACGTCGGACAGAGAGTAATTTTGTTCAGGCGCTGCTAGTGATTGTACAGATACTACTTTAGGCGAGGGGTCAACAACTATAGCAGTTACGGGAACCATTGTTGGCAGATTGGCAACATGTTTAGCAGCTGCATGGCTGTTGACTTTTAACATAACAGGAGGTCCACCTACTTTAGGCACATGAGATTCTTCTACTTTTGTAACTGTTGGTCCTCCTACTTTAGGGACAACTAATGGCTCTACTTTCATTGGTGCTCCTTGAGTCGCCGCAGATGCTGTTACTAGAACGGGCTTGGTATTTGCAAGAACTGGAGAACCTGTTAAAAACATCAAATCTTAATTTTAATGTAAAGCTGTATAAAATCATTTTGCTAAAGGTTTTGTTGCGTGTTGCTGACATTATTCACCTATGATTATGATACATTTTAGCACAAATGAAAATTTTCTCGCTTTCTGATTGGTCGAGAGCCGTGSTAAATAACATGWCATACCGCTGAATTACGTCTACAAATTACGAATTAGCGKGAAACCGTTTTTCCTTTAAACATTGTGTTATTTTTTTTAATAGTAAAAACAATATTCCGATAGTTTAACATGATATGTCCTTATATACCACAATATGACTTCAACAGTCAGTGAAAATTAGTTCAGTTTTTACAACTTACAAATTTCTCGTGCGCTGATTGGTTATTTTTTAAAATCGATAGGAGGACAGACAGATAAATCTGACGTCAACGAGCGCGCGCTCTTTCTATTGGTTGTTTTGATGGCTAAAAATGAGAAGCTTTTATCGTTTTTGTTATTGTAAAAAACAAAWACAGACGTAAGTTTTTTGACGATAAATTTCGTCATCACATTGTCAAAGTAGAATGCGGATCCACACCACTTTAACAATGTGATGACGAAATTGATCGTCAATAAGAGGACAGACACATAAAAAACTGATGTCTGTATTTGTTAAATGCACCCACTAAGCTACGCCTCGTGAGCAAATCATTACCATGTGTGACTACTTTAACAACGCGGAGTCCAGGTTGTTGAGCATTCTGGGTGTTTGTTGGGGCAGCTATTGCCTTGACTGTTTGATTAACTGGAGAAACAACTGGTGTCATTTTAACGTTTGTGGCAACTTGAGTCAATGCGTTTTGAGCAGGCTGGCTTGAAACTGGTGTCAAGACGACTTGTTGTCCGTTTGCTTGATGTATAATATACTTCTTCTGGACTTGYGCAGTCTGTTGTCTAGGAATAGGTGGAGCAACTACCTACATGATGAAGGAATATGACGCAGGTTATATAGAGGCTTTGCACCATCACAGGATCATGGCAGCCAGGACTGAGGAATAACTGAATTGAGTAAGATTTCCAAGGGGAAAATGTTGTGACTCCTGTCATGGATGCCATCACGTGATGTTGCAAAGTCTCTACAATACCAAAATTCATTAAATGACGAAGGAATGTCCCATTGAATATACGAGAAAACCGAAATGGTATTTCGATTAGAAGAATGAACAAAAATAATGATTAAATGCAAAATTTCTTTCCCATAACCCAAAATGCTTTGCTTTCTGGGGGGTAACCAACCAAAAATCTGTCCTAAAATGAAACGTTCACAATACCTGCTCTTAGCTGTACACTATGGGAAATCAGTTCAGGATGGGAAATTAGAAAATAGAAGCAAAAAATTTTTTCCCATTTTAGACCACTTATTTATTTATTTATTTATTTAAATAACTTTATCCATGATAATTATCTAATTTCCTAAGCTATCATGGAAGGGGTAAGAACAACAGAGCTTGGCTCCAAATTAAGTGCACCCTAACAAAAAATTAAATTATAATAACAACAACAAAATACGAATAATGATAAACTCTAAGTGAAAAAATCGAGTGGTGATTTACCAATTATACTTAGATGATAGTACCTAACTAAATTTATTTTTTTGTCATTCCCTTGAGAATTATTTCTCTGTTTAACGATTGCACATGAGAAGACAAATGAATATGGAAATGGTACCATTATGCCCAAGCTGAAATGGTCTATTCAGCTTCAAAAGCGTGCAATCTCTCTAGCMAATTATCGCGTGAATTCATGAGCTATGGTATTAAAGAACACTTATATGACATATATGACATATRTAGACCTCTTTAGCTCAGGAGTAATGTTTACCCATTTCAGACCACGTGCCATTCACTTGAGTATCATTTCTTTGTTTAACAGTTGCGCATGAGAAGGCACATGAATATGGATACGACTCAAACAAAGAATCTCATTCTCAAGAGAATGACACATGGTCTGAGATGGGAAAACATTACACCTGAGCTAAACAGGTCTATTATTGGGTATGTCAAAAACTCTTGAAGTAGTAACTAGGAGAATAATAACATCACGTTTTATTGTTCAGTGGATACTAACCCTTACTTGAAGCTTCTGGGGACTTTGTGCTTCAGTTTTAACCGCCTTTCCTTTTTGCTGTYGAAGAAGAAAAATCAATTAATACCCTACTTCAAATATTTGAATATTTTCATTGAGTTATCTCTAACAATAGGAAATAGGCTGTGCCGGGACTAGAGTACAAACACTAGAGTGAAGTCAATAAACCTGTGCAATAGATGTTAGACTAATACATATTTAAAAATCAAACACACCCTAAATCCATTGTTTGATGTAGGTTCTTAAATTATTTGGAAAACCCAGATTCTTAAAGTCGGGGGCAGAATTGATATCAACAGGGGAGACAAGGCTTAATTATAAACCCGGGATAGGWTTTTAATTACACGGATATAWTGTAAGCACTCTATTTCYAAAAGAACAAAGCAACAGTAATCTACCTCTCTGAATTCAACATAATTTAGTATTTCGTGTTTTGCATCGAAACAATGGAATTTAGGGCATAGTTGATGTTTTAAACCAATTGCGACCCTCGGTCTAGAATTCTAATGCAAAACCATGCCAGTGCGTTTGAACCTTTATTCATAGAGTCTGACCCTAATGCTATTGTTTTCTTTTGGGCTATTTTAGTAGAGTGGTTTTCATAAAACCCATGACAATGACATGCCTTATACAAATTAGTAGACCCTAATTCCATTGTGATCTTTTGTTGTCATTTCAGTATTACACACTAATTTATAATACCTGTTTCACGGGTTTATGAAAATTTCTCTATTACAAATAGACTAGTATTTGACTATTACAAATTGGATAGAAATTTTTATTTCACGGGTTAAATGTAATTTTTATTTCACTCTTACTAACCCGTAAAATAAAAAAATACTAGTCAACAGGTAATAGCCAAATAGACACAGAAGAAAACAATGGAATTAGGGTTAACTTATAAAGTGTATTATTGAAATATCTATTTCACATGGTCTGGCATTATTACAATAAGAGTGAAGTCATTAAACCCTTGAAATAGATATCAGACTAATAGACTTTATAGTAGACGCTAAATCCATTGTTTTCTCTTGTGTTTATTCTAACTCCACTTCATTGCTTTCCCAGCTCCTCTACAACGATTGATGGTCATTTTTTTATGCATGACCACTCAATCAGAATATCAGAAGTGGTCGGGTTCAGAAGCATAGAACATAAAAGCTGAGACCKAAATGGCATATGGGAAATGACATAATTATATTATGATTTATTCATTTGCGCCATCCATGCAATAGGATTAAAATGCCAAACGCGTATTAAAAACAGTRRATGATGCCACKGGTCGCCGGCCACAGCATGCATCTAATTAACGTACTTCCCRTGTRCCACTTCGGTCTAAGCTTCTATGTTCTATGTTTCTGAACCAGACAACGATTCTTCAATTGAGTGTATAGGTTCAATTAGAATTACGAGCTACAATAAAGGCAAAATCGAACTTATATCATGTGTATAGGAAAGCACACGACCCCGAGTATAATTTGTTAATAGCACAAGCCTTTAGGTGATAAAAATTTAAAATTTTCAAAACATTACGAGTTCTTATTAAATTATGGATTGTACGAGAAGGTCGTGTTTAAAATATATGTTAAAGAAAAGGCAATCATCTACTTTTCTTTGGTCTTTTTCCAACGTTAAGATAAAATGATTCTACTCAAGATCAATTGAAATCCATAAAATAATTTCGTTATCTGCTTGTTCTTTTGAATTTTACACTGATCAAGAACGGCAAACCGACTGTCTGTTATTTTTGTTTGTTTGCAAGTGAATGCCGCTGTTGACCGTGCACACACGTGTTTTAYATAGCAAGTAATAATAGATTATCCTACGGAGTACAATTAATAATTAATTGCACTACTCTTGACCATTAAGAATCGTGTAATTTTCCTGAGTGTACTATAAGATTACGAGACCTTTACTCTGAGAAAACAAATATTTCAAAATGTCACGCTATCGTGACAAAGCCCTATTATTATTCAAAATTATTTTTAGTGTTTACAAATAATCCTGAACGATTTATTGAAAGCAATCTCGGGTTCATCATTGTTATTCAAAGAACATGTGGGTTGATCATATTATTGTTATACAACCAGTWCCTCAATCACTCAAATCTAACTAAATTTTGCATAAATGGCCGAAACAATAGATTCATATAGAATAATAAAAATATATAAGATACATAGAGCAATGATCGTATTTTTTACCATGCTTTTCCAGGCAGAATAGTTGGTTAATCTTTTTCCAGTAGCAGACACAGAGGTGCTCTCTATTACAGTCTTCATCATCTGGTTTATACTATTAACGCCGAGTCTTTGCTTTTTATACCACACATCTGTCGTAGGCCTGTCAATGATAGCCAAGTAAAAAGGACCGCTTTCGAGTAGTTCAGGAGGACGTCTRCAAAGATACTCTTTCAAAAGTCCAACGGGACATCTAGCACCTCCAGTGGCAAACATTTTGGGYTGACCTAATCTTCGCTTTGTGTTTAATCCACCTTGCCTCGTCTTAGTTGGGTTTTCGCTTAACGTGAAGTACTCGACTCCACGGTCGTCTCTACATAGCTTCAAATCCTCCACASTCATAGAATAGTGTACTTCYCTTCCACGGAGACCAAAATGCTGAGTTAGAATCCACCACATTGTCTGGCARAGTGTTCTTGGACTTCCTGAACCCAGTTTTTCGTTCTCCCATAGCTCATCTTCCTCGAGTATCGATCCCGCTTTAGAGACCGGTCTTTTGTCTTTTCTTTCTTTACGAAGTAGCTTGGCTCTTCCCTCAAGGACTTGCTTCGACTGGTGGAATTCACGGTCTTTGGTGATAGAAAATGGGTATCCCTGATCACGCAAATGCCTGTCTAGACTTGCCATCATTACTTTAAGACTTTCTGGTTCATAATGGTCGCCATTTTTGTTTCGTACTTCGGCGTAAAAGCGCTGCAGGATTTCGTCAAGTATTACTGGCGGGTTTTCTTCGAGATTCKGATTTACGTTTCGCTCTTCAGCCCAGCTACGCCAAACTTTCAACCACGTTTGTGTACTCTTTTGAGTGTTTTCATTTTTTGYTTTTTCTTTTAGATTTTGTATCTCGTTTTCATCAAGAACGGCAAAGCGGCTGTAGCTGTCGGCCATTTTTGTTTACGTTTATAAGTTTGCTGCTTATTGGCCGTCTTTTGGTGTGTTTCCCATAGCAACTTAATAGGTACTCCACGAAGTACAATTAAGGATCAGGCTTACTGCWCTCGACCAATCAGAATCGAGTAATTTTAATGAATATGCTATTGATGTTTTTTCATTATGTTAAACCGCACGACCTCGGGTTGAATTAATAATTTAGAGTTACAAGTGATCGAGTCGACCCGTGGAATGAAAATTACTAGTCAAATGGACACAAAAGAMAACGATGGAATTAGGGTCTACTAAAGTGTATTYTARTCTAAAATATATTTCACAGGTTTAGTGACTTYACTCTAGTTTGAAAGTTATTGTAATAGAAAGAGGCTTTAGGAGAGGCTTTGCTTATTTTAAACCCAACAAATTACTAAGTTCTAATTGGTCTAGTGGCGTACAATTAATCGATCCTTAATTTTTCATTTCTAGTACAGTAAACAAAGCGTGRTTCCGCTACCCCCATAGCGTGGATCCTACAGATCAATAAAGGATCAACTGCACTGCTCTCGACCAATCAAAATCGAGTAATTTTATTGAGTGTACTATAAAAGTACTTTTACTCCGACGAASGACTAGCGTCYGAAACGTCAGTAAGTTTTTTCATCTTTTCAYGGTGTATAATTTACCYTTTTATCRTTACTGYTTCATTAGAAACACWGACRCAGCCCACACTAGKTTTTAGCTAGTTACCTCTTCTYTTTATAWAAGTAMTAAATGATTTCAAGGAAGACTAACCTGTTGAAGGGCTTCCTTTTGTTGTTTACTTTTTGCCTCTAATGCTTTCATGAGTCTGTCAATTGACACATAATTATCATAAATTAGATATCCTTAATATGCTATTGATGGTTTTCACGGTGGCCATGTTGGAGGAACTTAACAAAARAATTGTCAATGAATTCTTTTGTTATATCCTCCAACATGGCCTCTGTATCTTTTGTCATTTAATTCTCTTGGGAATGGTTGAAAACCATCAATATACACTCAATTGTAAATTCATTGTCGGATTCAAAACACAGAACAAACAAGCTAGCAGCAAAAGGTATTCTGGGAAATGACATTATAATCTGATGYATTCATTTGATCATGTTTTAAGAGCCTCCATGTTTCTGTCAGTACGACAATTT